CTGCCCCTGGGGGCAGCAGCGGAGTGGGGGGAAAAGTCTTGGGGAAAAGTTTGCCTGAGAATGTCCCCATGTTCAGATGTGGGTCGGGAGTGGGGGTGGATCAGACCCTTTGCACCCCCTAGATGGGTTGGACTCAGATCGCTGGGTCTAGACAAGAAGCGGGGATCGGGGGGGGGGAGGCTGTGGGACCCTCCCCAGGAGATAACCAAGGAGTTTGCTCTGGCCCGGCTGGCACCAGGCTGCCTGCAGTAGAGGCAGAGACATCTGGGGGGAGGAGGGCTTATGCACCCCTTGCACTTTCCTTTTCCACTCCCCCCAGGGGCCAGTTGCCTCCCCCGCCCCAATTCCCCCAGTCTGGGATGTTTGGGCGGGGCAAGCCCCCGGCACAGGCACCAGAGGATAGTGGTCCTGCAGCGATCGGAGGCCTGCGAATCCCCGGTCACGGCTGCTTCCTTGGGGGGGGCCGGGGTGCAACGTGCAGTTTTGTTTGCAACATGGAAATTGTCGTCGTCCCCCCCCCGGCGCCCCGTCCCTCCCCCTGGAGTGAAATTCATAGGAGGTGGAACCAGGGGAGGGGGGGAAGGTGAGGGGGCAAGTGTCAGGTACCAGTGTAGGGTGGCCCCTGCAGCCTGGGAAGCTGCATGATCAACCCTGCGCCCGCCCCCTCCCCGCCCGCGGGCTGGGCTGTTTCCAGGGTTACAATGGTGTTCTTCCTCTCTTTGGGGCGCAGAGGACAAGTCAGGGCTGGATCACTGGTTCAGAGTTTTCTACTTTTTTCTACTTTTTTTTTGTACATGCGTGCATACATAGCACGTTGTATGGCTATGTCAGATAAAGCAGAATGTCGGATAAGCAAAGGTCGGATAATCGGGACTCTACTGTAATAAGAATCTGAATATATTTAATTTAAAAGATATATTTGCTTAAATAGTGTGTGTCTGTGAAGATGTGCAAGTATATATATAGTATAGCCTTTTAGTCAGCAAAAAGTAGTACTAAATTTAATGTAAAGGCTATCTTTGGTTCCAAATCAACATGTTTTAGTGAATACCAGCTGGTCAGAATCAACCATTCATTAGGAAAATAACAAAAAAATTACAAAGCAAAATAAGACTAAAATTAGTTATTAAAGTGTTTCCTGCTTGCTGATTAAATTGCTTTGATGTAAGTCATCCCAGTTTGCTGAGACATACATTTCCACAGGTATATCTAGAAAAGTACAAAAAACTCTTAAGTCGTCTTCTCCAACAGATAGGCTCATCATGAACATTCACATTAATAGAGGTGTACTAGAGCCTGCACAAGCCATTTGACATACATTTGTATCCACCCTATTCATGTAAAAAAGAGTGGACGGTAGACACTAAGTTCTTGTTGCATATTTGATTTTTTTATTTATATCCTACACTGGGTTCTTTTCTAGGGTCAGAACAACAGGGACCTTTTAAATTGATACAGAAAAGGATCCAAATAAGCTGTAGCAATTCAACTGCAAGGTGTACTTCACTGCTCTCCTCCAAATGAAGGTGGCTAACTAGCGAGGCCTCCTTTCAAAATATGACTGTCCACAAGGAGCCCAGGCCAGAGTAGCTCTGTCCACGGGAGGCCTGGGCGCCCCACAGGCAGGGGCTGTTCTGCCTCTGTCCGCGTTGAGCTCAGATCTGACGTGGGCAGGGGCTGCTCCAGCAGGAGTTGGGAGCCAGGTTGGAGCAGTCCCCAGCCCGGGATCCTGCTTTAGTCTGCTAACTAGTTAAATGCTAGGAAAACCTAATGTTTAGTGGATTAATTTAGTAACTGGGATTTTACGTGCCTAGCAGACACTCCTTTTTTGGTCTCTAGGTCCTGCCCTTTAGAGCTTCAGGTGAAGGGAGGGTAATGCAGTATGCTAGTTTCTCCGGTGATTGAAGCAGGTAGTTTCACGGTCTTAAAATTAGTTCTCGCCATGCTTTTTAGCTATACATCCATTCTTTGTTCCTTCTCAGATTAGACTGCATGGAGAGCATGCCAAGAACTTCCTAGCCGTTTAGTAACAAGAAGATATCAATAGTAATAAACAACGACTTCTTTTGAGACTTCCTCCAAACATGCACACAATCTGTCCCTTACAACAGATTATATGCATTTATATATCAACAGGGTTAATATTGTAAATACAAATATTGGTAGTGGTACAAGGATAATGTTAAGTCAAGATGCCTTTAGGTGATGTGCCGCCGTCTTGTATTTAGTCTGTTTTTTGTAACTTACATGTTGTTTAGATTCCAGTTTATCAAGGGGCTTCCGCTCCTTTACTTGGTGGTCCTGTGGAAGGCTCTTTGTTTCATGGAAGAGATGGTTTGGGTGATGTACCTGATCCGAATGCTCCAGGATTAGAGCATCTACAGAAAGAACATGCCGTGATTGCAATGTTAAGACTTGTCAATGAGAAGCCTGGTCAGGTGAGAATGTTATTTATTTTTTTATGCAATAACAGAAGACAGCAAGCAGCTGAAATTATTTTGCCTTTCTAACCCTATGGAAGATCCAGATCCAATAGAAGTTGACCTGCCTACTTTCTCCTAGTAGTTCATAGTATTGTACTGGAAAAAAAAATTTGGGGGGCTGGAAAAAAATTGTTGAAATTTAGCATTCAGTTTAACCCTGGACATGAGCCCTGGACTAGTCCCAAGTCACTGGTGTCCAAGTAATTGTCCATTTAGTCAAATAATTCTTTAGCAAAAGAATTTGACACCGGTTTACCCTCCCCTTTCTTCCAGAGGAGTAAAATCTTTATTTAATATTTAGAAGAATCCATATGTTTGCTTGTTTTTTGTTGCTTAACCAAAACATGCCCTCACTCGTTTCATTGTGATCCTCTTTTAGCTGTATATTTCAATAAGATTTCCCTCTGTCTTCTCTTTTTCAACTTCTACTACGTAAGCACAAAGTATCAATCTTTTATAATAGCTAAGACCCTCTGTGCCTTTGATTTAGCAGGTTTTTTGGATCTTCATTAGAAATTTAAAATTCCTGAAGAATTGAGGAGCCACAAATTATCATGATACTTCGTTTTGGTTTAAAAAAGTTTGATAAATTCATGGATAGGTCCGTCAATGGCTATTAGCCAGGATGGGCAGGAATGATGTCCCTAGTCACTGTTGTAAGAAGCTGGGAATGAGCAACAGGGGATGGATCTCTTAATGATGACCTGTTCTGTTCATTCCCTCTGGAGCACCTGACATTGGCCACTGTCAGAAGACAAGATACTGGGCTATGTGGACCTTTTGTCTGACCCAGTATGGCTGCTGTTATGTTCTAACAAAGCTGTGAAACAGGGATAAATTTTAACTGGAAAAGTACCCTATAATATACCTCAGCTTGTGTAACACCATTTTCTTTGCAATAGCTGTTGCAAGTCAGTTCATTTCTCTACACTCAAAAATAATTTTAAATCTCCTTTCCCCAAACCTGTTTTTTCTAGGTGCTTGTATCTAGCAGTCAGAGAATCCTATAAACCAAAGGTTTCTTCAGAGCCACTGTAAAATAGGTCTAATACAGTGGTCGATTGCGGAGGCACTGCCAGTTGATCTTGATGCAGTGTTCCCAGCTCCTCCCCCTCTTGCTCTCCCCACCTGCAACGAGGAGCCTGTGCTGGCACTATAGCTTCCCGCTTCTCGCAAAATTGGAGCCAAAGCTGGCTTCCTGTGGCAGCATGTGAGGAGAAGTCTTGTAGCTCTGGGTGAGATCTGGCTTCTCAGGAAGCGTGCACACTGCTTCTCCCCTCAGCAACGCACATGCTTTCTTGTCTTGTCTTCCTTCCCCAGTGCACCAGGGAGGCAGGGTCGGGGGTGGGGTTTAAGATGGCAGTGGAGGATCCAGAGCAGCTGGATTTCTTAAAGGAGTCGCATGTGCACTTCTTCCAGCACTGCCTGCAGGTCCTTTCCGAGAGATACTCATCCCTGGAGACCCCCCAAGTACTGTCTGAGCTGCTCCGGCCCCCTCTCTCCTGGGCAGACACCTACCCCCAGCTTCCTTCTGTATCCTTCTTCCCACTCAGATTCTATCCCCCACCCCATCCCTATCCCACTCACTGCCGTTCTGTCCCACACACTGAGCCAGAGCCTGCGGGGGAGGAGGGCCCACAAAATCCACTAACCCTAGAATCCCAGAAGAATTTATCTGGCCTGAGGCCTTGAACCTAAACCCTCCCTATCCCTTCCCTTACCATGGGGCTGGAGTGCCAGAGGAGTGAGGTGTCTCAGCTGGGGCCACATCAGTGAGGATTGGGGTTTTTTGCATCTCACTTGTGTGGTCCCTGATTGTGGGTCAGTGGCCCCTGACCCAAAACAGGTTCCCCACCCATCCCATAAATAAATGTTAAAATATGAGCTTCAACACAAAATGTTTTATTTAAAAATGAATCCTGGCCAACAAGCCCCCAATTGAGACCATGCTCCATCTGGCCACAGCATCATAACACTCTTGCATTGCCACACACCAACCCTGAGCCCATCATACACCTGAACCCCCTGCCCTGAGCCCCTCATATCCCCAAACTCCTGCACCTCCCACATCCTCAGTCTTGTGCCGTAACACTCCTGCACCACCCACACACCACAAACCTGTCCCCTGAGCCCATCCTATACCCAACCCCCCTGCCCTGAGCCCCTCATTCATCCCAACCCAAACTCCTGCACCCTGATATCCACAAGTCTGCAGCTTGCTCAGAACCCCAACCTTCCACCTGACCCCAGTACTCTCCAGCCTGGAGCCCTCTCCCCGAGCCAGCATCCCCTTCTCCAGCTCCTCCTGTATCCAGATTCCCTCCCAGAGCTTACACCACTCACCCCTTCCCACACCCAAATCCCTCATTCCCACCCCAGAGCCTACACATTCTGTCTCAACCCAGTGAGAGTGATTAAGTGCTGGGGAGCAAGTTATGGAGAGGAGGGGAACGCAGAGGGTGGAGTCTTAAAGAAGGAGTGGGATCTTGGGGAAGGGATGGGGTAGATCTTGGCTTGCCCTGACATTTAAAAAGTGATCTTGGGTGTAAAAAGGTTGGAGACTACTGTTGTCTTCATCCCTCCCCTTCCACGCCTTATTGGCATTTTGATTACTTTCAAGAGAGGGAGCTAACCCTGCTGCGGCTCTGCCTTTTAAATGTATTAAGAGCCAGCAAGCTCTTAATATATTTAAAAGGCTGAAACACAGTGGGGGGACTCGATGCGAGCAGGGACAGCTGATTCCCAGTTTGTGCCAGGTCCCCACCACTGTGCTTCTGTTTTTAAAATGTATTAAGATCCAGCAGGCTCGAGCCCAGTCCCTGCTTAGACCCCTGCCATCCTTGTGCCCCTGTGGAGAGGGTGCTGGCGGGAACTAGCTTTTAAGCCAACTCTCCACAGCACCAGCTCCTGCTTCCCTCCTTGCTGCCTCTGATAGCAGCAGCAGCAAGGGGGTAGGGGAAGTGATTAGCCAAGCATAAGCTTGTTGGATAGTTGACTACTCACTGACATCCCTTCTACAGCTGTTTGGGAATCCCAGAGAAGTTAATTCCAAAAGAAACCCCGTGTTACTCTGCTAGCAAAAGTAATCCATCAGTAATGGATGAAGTCATAGAGGTGGAGTGTTACTTTAACAGAAGTGTAAACAAGTATTTAAAACAAGCAACTTAGAAAAATATGATATGGGCTATTTATTGGTTTGTAAAGAAATGGAGTGGTGTGTTATTTGTTTTGCAGATTTCGCTAGTTGCCACTGGTCCTTTGACTAATCTAGCTTTGGCAGTGAAATTGGATCCAACATTTCCTAAGAAGCTTAAAAATATATTCATCATGGGAGGAAATACGGAATGTAAGTAATTTATACATGATCAGTAGGCAAACATCTTAACTAACAACTCTGGTATGCTTATGTAGAAGTTGTTTGGCCTTTTTTGTACGGACGTTAGACTGCCTGCATTTGTGTATTAGGTTAGTTATGGGAAATGAGGTTGATGTAGATGTTAATGTTGCCATAATGAGTAATTTCCTTGATTTTTAGTAATTGGATTTGCAGATAATTCCTTTTAATGACCTTTACTTGAACTTGTACTTTTCATGGTATTAAAAATGTATTTATGGAACTAATGTAATGCTAAAATATTATAATAAAATGAATGTTATAGTAATACTAAATTTATGGTAATATTTTAATGCTACAATATGGTGTGTTTTTGACATACTCTTTTTGTGTTACAATTTTTTGGTAAGCTTTATTGGACAAAATGCAGTAAATATTGTAAGTTTTGATATTGAAAAGTAAAATGATCATAGAAAATAAGCAAATATTTTAAACAGTTACTTTTTTTTATTTGTTTGTTTTGTTAGCCAGAGGAAATACTACAGTCTGTGGAGAATTCAATTTTACTACTGATCCAGAAGCTGCATATATTGTTTTAAATGAGTTCACTTGCCCTACTTACATAGCAACATGGGAATTTACATGTCGCAATTCACTGTCTTGGGTAAGATACCAAATATTTACTATAAATTCATATTAAAAGTAAATCTGGTGAAAATTGATCTGCCAGGATGCAGAGCAATGGCCACATCGATAAGATTATACGAGTGGTTCCTATATCAGTTCATCCTAACTTTGAATATAAAAATAACTATCTAATATCAATTTTTTAATTGTCAGCATTATTCTTTTGGTTTACAGGAATTCTATCATGAGTGGGTTAATCAGGACACCAGAAAAGCAAAGTTCATGAAGAAAATATTTGCTCACACTATAAAATACATTGACTCATTACGCAAAAAATCAGTCAACCACTTAGAGGCTTCAGGATTTGTGTCTTGTGATTCCTATGCTATGGCTGCTGCAATTGATGAGAACTTTATCACAGAATCCATAAAAGCTCCTTTAAGTGTGGAGCTCAATGGTTCGCTAACTAGAGGAATGATGGTAATGGATATGACTGGTCACCTTGAGAAGGAAAATAAAGCTTTTGTCATTAGTAAGTGTGACTTAGAAAAGTTCAAGGCACTTCTCATTGCTGCTTTAGAATAACATTTTGCTGTTGGATAAATTTCCCAATCTTGTTAATCTTCAACTGTGACTGTAAGTCTAGTTATTCCAGTGGTACAGATAACTTTAGATTCATAGCTACTGTCACAAACTGCATACACTTATTTTTAATTAACTTTTATTACCACCAAATTTGGATCCAATGTACCCCAATAATGATTTGCCTAGAACTATAAACTAATTGTCAATTTGGCCTGCTGTAATGGGAGGTGGCCTGTCCTAAGAGGAATTGTCGGAGTTTTATCATGGAGTTTGTTTCTGGTCTTCCGAGAACTCCCTAGAACAGATTAGCTCTGTTAACCCTTGGATATAACCTTCCACATAAAGGATTGATATTCAAGCAGTAATTATTTGAAAAGAAAGCAATATTTGTTTAATGAAAAGAATCAGTTATAATATATTTAATAATCAAGAATATCTATGATACATGACACACAACATAGTCTAAATTCAATGGAATTATGTTAACAAAACATGTAGATGGTATCATGAGCTTTCATGGGCACAGCCCACTTCTTCAGATGACTGGCGTTATGAGTAGGGAATATGAAAACTGGAAATTAATAGGAGAGGGGAAGAGAAGGAAAAAGGAAGGGGGGGAGAGTATGAGAGGGGGAACAAGGCATCATTAAGTGTTTGGAGAATGGGTAATTAAACCTAAGCAGATAAAAATCAAAGTCAATAGATAGATTGCTAAGACAGGAAGGATACCACTCAGAGAGCTGTTAGCACCTTCAGTGGTTATTAAGTAGGTAGTGTCCTAGCCAGCCCATATCAGGATTGAGTCGTTGGAATTCACACCTCCAGATCAGCTGCTAGAAGTGGGCCTCATCCTCCTTGATTGGATCCACCTTGTCATCTCCAGCCTGATCCTGGCCTGCATATTTATTCCTGCCTCTGGAAATTTCCACTACATGCATCTGACGAAGTGGGTCTTTGCCCACGAAAGCTTATGCTCCTACACTTCAGTTAGTCTATAAGGTGCCACAGGACTCCTCGTCGCTTTTGCAGATTCAGACTAACACGGCTACCCCTCTGATACTTGAGTCCTTCCCTATGAATCTGGCTTGTGGAGCTGGCCTGTGACAAGACAGCCACCTGCAGGTCTGTTAAACTGTGGTTAAGCAAGCAGAAATGTTCACCAACAGGCTTGTGTGTGTTCCCTTTACATATATCCGATTTGTGTCCATTGATTCGTTCCCGCAGAGACCGTCCAGTTTGTCCAATATATATATATAGTAGTGGAGCACTGCTGGCATAGATCAAATTACTAGATGTGCAGTCAAATGACCCTTTGATTTTGTGGCGTATGTTGTTTGCTCCAGTGATGAATTTGTCAGTGTCTATCCTGAACCTGAGAAGGGGCCATAATTTACCAATGTAAATTGCCAAAGAGCCACAGTAATATGTAATGTTTGTCTGTGTGTATGTCAGTGACTAAAAGAGTCTTCAGAAAATTGGCTTCAGCACTAAAAAGGTGTAACAGAAATCTTTTCCGCTTACAAATCTTGTAATCTTTCCTCTAAACTGTCCTTAAGATCTTTAATTGCACTTGCATATCTAGTTGTGCTCCTTTTTTAAGGATTCTGCTCCATCTTCTTTTGATATGACTTGAAGTGGTGACATCCAGGGGACGTGTGTCAGCTCTCCCTCAACTGCAGTTCATGAATGAAAGATACACTTTGCACTAGATCAGACAGCAACTGGAATTTTCTTTGGAAACCTAACATTTAGATTATCCAAATGCAGCAGCATGTCTGCCAGAAATGCAAAATCTAGAACACACCCTGGATGTATAAGCTCAGGACGTATTCTCTGTTCCTTCTGTATAAATAATCATATTAGTTTTAGGAACTTGAAAAAGTGGAAAATAACTGCTTTTTGAGAGCCATCAAATGGTGCAGTTTGCCAGCATGTAACTTGCAACCAGTTGTTTGTGAATGCCCGCCATGGACAGGGGCTGCTGAGGGGGACCCAGGGCTGAAGCAGCCTCTTGCCTGGTGCAGATGGGGTGCTGCTTCAGTTTATTGGGACTGGTAAAGCTCACCTGTTACCAGTGAGGCTTACCAGCTAACTTTTTACATCTTTAATCCTCAGTTCTGCTTCAGGTTGTGACAAGAATGCATGATAACTGAAGGCTCCCTGAATTCAGTCTTAAATTCACCAGTACATTTTATCTGCATTTCCTTTGAGTGTATGCAGTATAAATCTGAGGTGATAGTTTTAATGTTCTAGTCTGGAAATTACATTGACATTATTGCTTACTTAACAGCCACAGGTATAAGTCACAATGTCACTTACAAAAGAAAAAGGTGTAGTGGAGATACTAGCAACATTGTGGGCTCTTTTTTAATCTCTAAATTACCTTTTATTTCTTCTTTGCATTAATAGATTACGCTTATTTTTTCTGTCAGCACTTGGCTATACCATTCTGTCTTTCATGGGCAGCAGTAGGTTGCCCTTTGGATGACAGAAACCACAGAACCCCTTTTTGTGTAATGACCAGCCATTGAAGATTTATGAAACAGCTAACAGTGGGATTGCACGTCATAGAGTATATATGCAGGAACGTGTGCAATAGTATTTCTTAAAGTAAAGAGATAAACAAATATATAGGTCCCCAATAGCTGTTGCTAAGCTACAGATTAGAATAACAAAAAACCCACTGATTAAAGAAGAGGATTTAGAAGTCAAACCAAGTCACAAACTGTTCAGAGATTTTGTTGGATGCCTGTGAAGCTTTATAAGCAATATTTCCTAAATGACAAAAATAACGAGTTCCTTTCATATTCACCAGCATCATGGGTTGGTGGTATGCGTGAGACTCACTTGCATGACTCAGACTGCTATTAAACTTGCAGCTCCTGCTGCAAGGCACCTAACAACTCTTACATCAGCAAAGAATTATAGAGGACATATGTTTTATAGTTTGACAATTTGAGCCATAATTCATCATAAAAATCTCTTGGTTAAAGAAAGCCTTTGGGGGGGCAAGTGATACAAATGCATTTATTCATGATCAGGCAGTGGATCACAAACGTTAGCAAACGGCGGACCCCCATTTTTATTTAAAATTTTCGAGACTGCCTAAGCTTACTGTTGTTCATAAAAAGCTTTAATATATATAAAATGATGGATAACATTGATTTCTGTTTTTAAACTTTATTGATTTAAATGTTCATATGTGTGGGAGATAGATTGGGGGGTGGAGTCAGACTATTAAAATGATAGTAGACCTTGAAATAAAAAAGTACCTATTAAAACATAAATGGCCAACATTGCCTATCAAAATATACAAAGTAAATATCCTTAAATCACTCAGTTCTCAAGCAACATTTTTATTACTTTTTCTATCTGTAAATTGGGATATGAATAAAAAATTTTAATTGTTTTGTGTGTACGGTAAAATTGACATTTTCCAATAAAATTGACATTTTCCACTAAAAAACCTAATCTTTTCATGTTATTAAGTAGAATGCCCAATAACTTTCCGCCTCCTCTCAGGCTTGTGTTTGTCTGAAACCTGATCTAATTCTCCATGCCCTACCAATGCCTACTAGAGCAGGCACTGCAAAGAATATCGGCAGAAGAAAACCTAGTTTAAATATCCTTCCAGGACTTGGGCATGCATTAGATTCCAGCCAGCAAGACTGAGGTAGTTTTGCACATGACCACTGCAAGGGGTCTTTATCAGAAGAAATACAGATGGCAAAGGAATTTAAGCACCCACAGGTGTGGAAGGAGGCAAGTCTTAGGGAAGAGGCTGGGCCTTATCTCAGCTGCCTTGCTACCTGCATCTAATATTAAGAGGGAAATGGAGGGGGCAGGGTGGCACCACATGTAATTCCATGGTGTGAAGTGAAATTTATCAGCAGGGCCAGTGACCCCACTAACAACTCTCAGACCTCCTGGAGCCATGGCAGCATTGACTCTGCTCATCTCCTTGGCAGTGTTAGAGTGGTGTTATAATGTAATTGTTGTAAATAGGATGTAGGTAAGGTGCACACTTAAAGGAGTGGTTGCTGCCATCAGTAACTGAAAACAAAATGGAATTTAGGAAAACAAAAATGGAGTTTCTGGACAGGACAGTTGAACTTTTCCCGCCCTGACTGTCTGCACTCAGTACCAAAATTGCACCAGGCACACAGATCCTTTGCACCTAGCCCGAAAGTGTGCACACCACTCTACACAAGTTTACAGTTTACCTGCCAAAGGTTCTTAAAAAAAAAAAAAAAAAAAAGGCCTGCACCGAAAGGTGGGAGTGGTCAGTGTTCCGGGCTGTGTCTGTGAGGACAGCACAGCGCCACAGAGGGAAAAGGCATAGGGATCATTCACAACTGCAGTGGATTCCCACACCACGCTGTGGCGAAGGTTCAGCACTGGTGATCTGGGATACACCAAGCAGAGGTGTTTGATCTCTACCGGCCTTGGACCATCACATTGTCTCCATTGTGGTGTAGGCCCAATGAGAATCATCCCAGAACTGTGAGGGATCGCTTGCGGTTCCTCCCTACGGGCTAATCTGAGCCCAAAGGTAGAAGGTCACAAGCACCAGTACCACCATTGGCAACACAGAGACTTTTGTAACGCATAAATACCTTACCTGTATCGGGGATCTTTTTGTCTGTCTGCTCTTCTGTTTTGGGGTGGGGGTTGGATTTGGTGGTGGTGTTTTTAAATTGACAAGTGCATGAAGAAGAACAAATTCTTACAATATATTAGTGAACTTTAATCTGGACTCCACGGCTGTTACTACATTGGCACCCTTTTCCGGAAAAGGGATGCTAATGAGACACTTCGGAATTGAAAATGCTGTGGGGGATTTAAATATCCCCCGTGGCATTTGCATGAACATGGCTGCCGCTTTTTTCCGGCTCGGGGTTTTGCCAGAGAAAAGCGCCAGTCTAGACGATTTAAATATCCCCCGCGGCATTTGCATGAACATGGCTGCCGCTTTTTTCTTGCTCGAGGCTTTGCCGGAGAAAAGCACCAGTCTAGACGGGATCTTGCGGAAAGTAGGAATAAGGGATCTTCCGGAAAAGGGTTTATTTTCCACAAGATCCCGTCTAGACTGGCGCTTTTCTCCGGCAAAACCCCGAGCCGGAAAAAAGTGGCAGCCATGTTCATGCAAATGCCACGGGGGATATTTAAATCCCCCACAGCATTTTCAATTCCGAAGTGTCTCATTAGCATCCCTTTTCCGGAAAGGGGTGCCAATGTAGAAACAGCCCAAGTGTGGTTTTTTGGGGAGAGAAATCACCGGTGATCAGATACAGTGTCAGGGGCCTCCCTTCTGGTAACCAGAGCATTTATCATCATCAATCAGATCCCTTATCCTAAATTCTAAATTAATTCAAAAGATTATGCTTGTTACTGAGACTCTGGAGTAACAGTGTGCCCTTGGGGACCCCACTTTGAGAATTGCTATGATGAGGGGAATGCCTTTCATCTGTTGTTGCTCCAGGTAAGCAGTTCTAGGCAGTCTCATACCCTTAACTTAGGGGTTGACAAACTTTATGGCTCCAGGGCCATACATGGGTAGGGAAATGGTACATCAAGCCATGAATGTAGGGCTGTGACAAAGTTGGGGTGTGGGAGGGCTCAGGGCAGGGACTCGGGGTTTAGGAGGGCGTTTCAGTGCTGGGTTTAGTATACAGGACAGATTCAGGGGGCAGACTCCAGCTAAGTGCCCTTTACCTCAGACGGCTCCTAGTTAGCTGTGCAGCAGGACTATGGCAGTATCCCCTCCCCCTGGCTCTGTGC